TCTAGCAGAAACCGGTCCCGGTTCTTTGCCACAGTTCGAAAAGTTCCTAATGCTGACTTTTTTCGAAAAATGATCATTGCCGTCCGTCACACTGCCACATGACTATATGTATGTACGTCCGTCACACCGACACATGATCATATGTATGTACGTCCGTCACGTAGCGCCGTCTCTCACTTTGCGGACCTACTGGATAATAATGACCAATAGCAGATGCGGACGCCGACGCCGACATTTGTTTCAGTTAAGGGAATAATGAACTCCCGATAGAGTTTACGGAAGATAAAATATAAGTTATGTGCATCTAATTGAATATATCGCATTTTCTTCACATAATGCACATGCAGTCTGCAACAACTTTGGCAAGGTTACTATCAGCTGAGAACATAGCTCCTTTCCGATTACCTTGCATAAGAAGCGCGTTGTAAATTTTTTTTATTTTCTTTTGATGTAAACTCATCAAGAACATCTCGACAATATTCACTAACATCAGGCAAACCAGGGAGAGAGATAACATCTTTCAACAGGCTATACCCAATTTGTACGTCGATTAAATTCACCATAGTAATATGGTAACTTTTTAGCATAAGTATATCGTTGCAACATCCATGATCGATCTAAACAACAGAAATCTCACGTAGAATGATACAAGATGCCTTGTAAACGCACTCTCAAAATACTGGATTTGCTGGATATTCTTCTAAACGCTTCCACTTTCGACTGTAAATTATACATGTGGCACACAAAATCGCCTTTCTTCGTTGCAAACTGTATGCATGCAATAAAATTATCAAAAAACTAAAAACAAAACAAAAAATGCAGAAATCATCATTATCTCAAAGTTTCTGAACATGTAGCAAAACCCAGACTGTGCATCATAATTAACAAATTATGTCTAAAAGATTCACATAAAAGAAAGTAAGAAAATTCATTGACATTATTGATGTGAAACAGAGTACATGAGTATTGTGTGGCAAAACAATAACGGCTGAAAAAGAGCTCAAACTGCTTCGCTTATGCAATCATGGAGCGTTTTTCCTGAGAGTTGAAGGAGATACTGCAGCAGAAGATGAAGGTCATTTCATCAATATTCTTAAATAGACATCTCATTTAAATGTTTCCTTAGCCTAGGATCTGGCTAGGTTTAGGAACCCGGGGATGCTAAATTTGAAAAAATGTGTAGAAGTTGCTTATCCAGCATGGGTAAACACTTTTGTATGAACTGGATAGAAAAATCGTCAATTCTGTTACTGTGACTGTTGGATATAGAAGCAACAGCCTCTTCCATATGATTGATAGAAATATCAATATCTTTTAAAGAATTTGAAGAAATGCTAGGAGATGAAATATTACTAGGAATAGGAGTAAGTGGACTAGAATTAAACTATTTACAAAAAATTTCTGCATATTCAACATCGCTCGATGATGTGGCACTGGACTCACTGATGACAGATTTTGGCATAGAGCATTTTCCATTTCGAAACTTATTTAAATTTAACGAAAAACGAAGAGCATTTTTAAACATAGATAAGATTTTTTAAACTGTAATATTCTGTCCTACAAACAGATGAAATAACTTGCTTACGAATTCATTTAAACTAGTGAAGACTATTCGCCGAAAAAGAGGATATGAATCGACGAAAAACTTTGTTTCGGTTAACCATGAGTTTGCGTCTAAAAGGAGTCAGACAGTAGACGGCTCTTAAAGTGACAGAAGCACGTTTATTAGGTATAAATTTGTCGATACAACTGTTGACATGAGTATTCCAAAGGGCAACAGCAATAGTAGGATCAATTGCTACAAAGAAATCATCAGAAATGGCACTTAAAACATTACAAAGAACTGTCATATTGCTTTTAAAAAATCGTTGATGTATTTAAACTTAGACTCTTTAGTAATATCCGCATTAATATCAAAGTATAATGAAGACTATAATGTATAGAAGAATCCACCGCACACTGATTAGAAATAAAGGGCAATTCCATGTAGAAGGATACAAAAGCTAATCTAAAGTGGTGCAATTTGTTGTTGTAATAATAGTAGGATTACAGTTTAGATGAAAGACGTTAGCTAATGAAGTTGATACATAGGGATATTATTAATCGGATCACTATTGAAATCACCGCTAATAAAAAGAGTCTGAAGAGTCTCCATAGTGATCGTTCAATCCTGAATGTAAAAAAATTGACAAAGCGGAATTTGTTAGCAAAAAGCAGATAGAATGGTAACTCTGATTTTGCCTCTTGTTTTTCTAAAAATCTGAAATGGATTATAGATGAAGAGCCGAAGGCTTCATTAGCATGCCGATTTTTCTCTTTTTTCCATCGTGGTCAACCTATTAATGGATTTATTAAGCACGGTTTTTGATGAGAATCTGGACCACTGGTAGATGCTGTTTTCGAAGGTAGAGTGTACTAGTTAAAACACATTTTAGCCATAATAAATGAACAAAGAAATAAGGACGTATTATTCACTAATCCGTCTAATTAAAATTTACCGAAACGTAAACACAAAAGAACGTATGAATTTTGGATGAACTGGTTGAAATCGATCAATTTCATCTTACAGGTAAGATAATAAACTAGGAAAAATGCTGAAAAAAGCAACACGTATGCAAGGTGCGACTGATTAATTTTTTAACAACTGTCTGGGTCAGAAAATCAAGAAGAAGAAAAAACGATTAAACTTTTGTCCGCTAGAGTAAAAATCTTTTAATTTTCAAAATCTAGTTTCTCTTTGGTAAAGATCCTACTGTATGGATCTTAAAGACCGAAATGTGGGCTATATAAACCACATTTCAAATCTCCTCTAAGGCTTTTGTAGATATCAAAAAGAATCAAAAATCTAAAAGGGCTAAAACTTTTGTCGTACACTTTAAATGTCGACTGAACATGAAGACTTGAGAATGTTGATGAAACAACTCCGTGTCCTTTCGCGCTCTTTTTCGACCCGCGGTGCGACTTTTTGCGCCAAATATCCATATATTAATTTTCCCACCTTTCTACGTTATACCTCATATCTGTTGGTTAAATGGAGCCATTACGAACTAGTCGATCTCATTTAAATATGACATGTTTTAGACTCAATAGCTGTCATCCAGCAAACTCTTTTATTCCTAACGACCAGAGAGATCCGTGAACTTCAATATAAGTCATTTTAAATGGAAAGCATTTGCTGAATAGATGAGGCCTTAAAATTGTGGCGCAGGTTTTTGTACACAAAGTGTATTATTGCATACTCTATTCTGCTATTGATTGCATGAGTCATCAAACGTCTGATCACAGACCACAGAAATAATGCGAAAAAGTGGAATTTTGCACACAATTATGAGAAGAAGCTCTAATTATAATTCTCCCGACAGAATCCACAGAAATAAACTTGAGTACGAATTACAAACGTGAGTTTGGCGCAAAATCGCTCGAACTAATTATCTAACTTCACATTTAGTTGTTCTGATGCATGCTTTCTATTCCTGCGCGTGTACTCAATATGAATTAAACAATTTACGTTTTTTGCATCAGGCTACCGAAGAAAAAAATCCACTCTTACAAGTTATATTTAACTTTGCTGACTCTAAAGAATAATAAACACACCCTAGGCCAGGAAAAAGGTTGAAAACAAAGAGTGACGTGGACATGAATCTGTGACCACTCGTTCTACGAGCAAATGTAGACTCGGACTCGACTCAGACTCGAAAAAGTGGTGACTCGTCCATCTCTGGCTTCAGAATAATTACCTTGAGTGTAGTAAACCATTCTAATATTATTGTATGTATTTCCGCTTAAAGGGTGACCTGGATTTAAAGTGTTTAATTGAATTTCAAGAGCTTTTTCATACATTTTTAAAGCTTGACCATAATCACCGTGAGCATGGATAGTAGAGCCAATGTTGCTCTATGTAGATGCAAGTAGGATCATTCAAGTATTGTATAGCTATGTGAGCTGTCGATACGATCAGGCTTACGCTTTTTCTGTATCGGTCATTCATCATTATTAAGTGTATAATACTTGGCTAACTTCTTGAAGGATGTTACGATGGAAGACATGTCAGATTAATTCCAGGTGAGTTATTACGCATTTTCAAAGCTCCTGTGTAATTGCCTCGAGCATCGTCAACATTTCCAATGTTATTATAATACATTGCAGGGTTCTGAGGATTGCGAACAGAAACTTTTTATTCAATGTCAAGTGCTTTTTCGTAGTTGTTTCATGTGTGGTCGTAATCACTCTGACCATATGATAAGAAGAACCAATATTACAATATGCTCCTGCAAGTTTTGAATCATTCGATGGAAGATATTTTTGTCTAATCTCAAGTGATTTTTTGTAAAATTCTGTTGCTTTTGTAAAATCATTTTTCTCTGTGGAAATCTCAGCAAGGTCATTTAATAGCAAAGCAATAACAAGATTATTTTCTAATAAAATATCACTCTGTAATGTTTCATAAAATTGCTTCGCCTTGTTAAATTCGCCCATTTGAATCATTAATGCTCCTCAGTTCTTCTCAGTTCCTTCAGTGATTCTCAGTTATTTTTTCATGGGGATCAGACGTGTTTTGGCTTGAGTGTGTTATCTGGTAATGTGATTACAGTTACAACGTAAACAACTGATTTTATGCAATCTGGTCATCAGCGTAGTCCCTCGTCACCATCACAAACATCTAGTAAAAAATTAAAACAATTAACTACAACCGCAATGTCAACTAATGCCGAAAGCTTAGCGTTAACTCAAATGGTTAAAGAAATCTTTTCGTCCATCTTTTGTTCAGCAAATGTGTAATTCATTACTAACCTCGGATTTGTTTACTAACTCTATTGGTACGGTAGTTGAAGAAGCTGTAAATAAGTATCGTTATCAAGTTGAAGATTTGAAATTTGAATTAAAGAAAGTGAATGATAGCGGCCAGATGTCGTTTGCTAACATTCTCTGCTCGATACAAACTGATATTATACTTTTGTCCTAGAATCGATGTTAAACATTGGCATCAGGGGTATAGTACATTGCTCCGCCATTAGGATTTATTGTTCCTATACCAGATAGAACGGCCACCGTTGTAGATGATTTGGAATGTATGCATGAGAAAAGATCAGATTTAAAATCTCCATTTACTATTATATTTCCACGTGTTCCGATGGCATCATCGGAACACGATCATAATAGCTGCCACAGTATGGCAGCTATTATGATCCTTTGCAGTGAAGTTTAAACCATATAGGTGTGTTTGCACTCGTTGCAGTGAAGCAGTATGTGTAATATCCGTATCCCAAAAGAGAGAACAAAACTTATTTCGTCACACATTGGACATTTCTGGTATAAACAGGTGGACATGTGATCGTGTTTATAGGCAGCACTGCTTTTTTGCTCAAAAATGATTCTTTATCGGTCAAAGAATTACTATCAAGCAAATAAAAGTTTATTTTCGATCAAAAATTCCTGAAGATGATCCTTGCCAAACTTTTTTCAAGAAGTTCTTTTGGTTAGGAAAATTTTGTTTTATACATCATTCCATGTACTTTCACAGGATGGTTCAAAATATCACCTTTTTGGAAGATATTCCTGGACTGAGAAAAGTCGATTTATCTAAACAGACAAACACTTGACAAAGTTTGAACCAGTATGAAGCCCTTCACATCTTTGCACATTCATTATACCAGACACAGTTCCGTGTAAACTTAGTTAGCTGGGAAGATAATTGTTTTTCTCCGGTAGTTTAGCCCAAAACAAAATATTTTTTTGCGGTAATAGATATCTAAAAGTTCGTAAGTTACTCTTCCTTGATATTTGTTTTCATCTATGTTGGATTCAATAAAAAAAGTCTTCTACACAGCACAGTTTTTTCAGGCTGATTTTTAGCCAAACGTTTTTCTAAAATGTTCAGCGATTCGAACAAAAAATATTATGCCAAAAATCAACGTATATTTACCTCTATTAGAATCTGAAAAAGTTCACTTTTGGTTTCTGTTACAAGTTCACGCAATTTAACAATCCTTAACCGTTTCGAAGAATTTCCTAGGACTGAAGAACACAAAATTGTAATTTGAATATTTGCAGATTAATTCTGTCGTGTGAATCATGAGCTCCTTTTTGTTTAATAATAAAATATCAATTTTTATCAAAAACAAGAAGCCAAATTTGAATACACTATTTTTTCTTTTTTTCCAATTCTTTTTATTACCTTTCTCATTTATTTACATTCTGTCAAAATTAAAGGTTATAGTTCACACAAAAAATAACAGGACAAAATGTGGTATGAGTCTAAAATATCAGTAATACATCAAAAATCATTAGTAGGAATTAGATATACAACGTATCTTTTCTTTTCTTCCTTGTCTACGGATTTTTAGTATATATTGTCCTTTTTATGGCTTGTATTTCGTTCACAGACAATTCATACCTTCTAATATCCTTTTTTTACTCAAAGAATTTTTATAAATCCGTGCCTGTCGAGACAGCGGTTGTCCGTTCATGGTCTTTTTGGAAACTGCTCATGTCCGTGCATGTCTCTAATATA